CACAAAAATCAGCTTTGAATCTTGCAAGCGTTTAGTTACTGTAGGGAATACCAGTGTTTTATTTTTATATTGTATGAATATCTTTGAAAAATTCAAAGGTATAAGAAAACATGCAGACTATTTCCTCTTAATACGTACTTTATAAAAATCTATTTTTAACTAGTGTTAAAAACATTTGCATCATTGTCTTTTTAAGGTTTTTCATAAACTCAAAAAAATTATAAATTAAACTACAAATTGCTATAAATTAATGAAATACTATGAGATACTTCATGTACAAAAGAAATTGAGCTCTAAGACAAAAAAAAAAAGCCCTGCTAAGGTGATATCAAAACATTTTGTTTTAAGCATTTAGCCTTAAGAAAGTATAATGAGGATTTTCAATGTGCTCAATGATCATACAAAAGAAAAACTCAAAGACAATTTGAAATGCTATGCTGGAACACATTTGTTTTAAGTAGAGATCAATCCACATGTGTTTGGAGCTAGTAATGGAATTTTTCATTATCATTCTTCTGACTGCAGCTCAATTCAGTACCAAAGCATGCTTAAATTTGGGCACAGAAATGCTCCTTTTGAATTCAAAGTATGGATTCATGTACTGGACTGCTTCCTGATTGGGAAAGCATGTCAGTTTTGGCAAAGATAAGACTTCTATTCTCCAAAAATATTAAATAGTAACATTTGGTCTATTTCATTTCTCACTGAAAAACATACAGAGAAAATTATTTACCTATGACCATAGCAAATCAGTAGTATCATGAATGAGGATGACTTTAAAAAAAAAAAAAAAAAAAAAAGTGAGCTGATACTCAGTGGCTTCCTGGGAAATATTGTCAATAGTCAATACTATTAATGAGAAATACAAATATATATATATATTATTAATTTCATTCTTATATAGTTAATGAAAACAGATCAGATGGTTCTCACTCTCACTAAAAAGCTGGACAGTGAGTCCAGTCTCTTGTTTTCTACAGAGAGTCCAGTCTCTTGTTTTCTACAGAAAACAAGCAGTTTACAAAGGGCAATACATGTCCTGTATGCTTCCTGTCCTGTCCTGAAGTACTGACCCTTCTTCACAGCTCAATAAGGGCACAACTCACCAAGGGGCAACAGATTAAGAAACGCTTTGCACAAGAGCTCTCCATCCCTCAAAATAAGAAAGCAAACAGAGGAGGCAGGAAACTGGCATGACTTGGCAAGGACCTGCCAATCAAACTGAGGAAAAAGAAGGTCAAGCACAGGCAGTGGAAACAAGGACATATCACCTGCAAAGATTACAGGGATGCTGTTTGGATGTGCAGAGATGGGATTAGGCATGCATGAAACTGAATTTGGCAAGGGATGTTAAAAACAACAGGAGATTCTATAAGTACATAGGTCAGAAGAGATAGGCCAAAGAGAGCACGCCTCCTTTGATAAATGAGAAAGGAGAACTGGCTACAACAGATATGGGAGAAGGCTGAGATATTCAGTAAGTTCTTTGCCACAGTTTCCACTGGCAGGCAGGATTCTCATATTTCTCACATCCCTCAACCTCACATCCCTTTCTTGGTGGGAACTGGGGGAGCAAACTCCCCCCACACTGTAAGGGCAGAGCAAGTCCGAGAGAGCCTCACAGACGGGATGCGTACAAGTCTATGGAGCCACACAACATGCATCCCAGGGTCCTAAAGGAACAGGTCAATGTGGTTGCCGAGCCACTCTCCATCATATTTGAAAAGTTGTAGCTGTCAGGGAAAGTCCCTGATGATTGGAAAAGGGGAAACATCACTTCCATTTATAAAAATGGAAGAAAGAGGACCTGGGGAACAATGGACTGGTAAGCCTCACCTCTGCCTGAGAAGATCATGGAATAGGTACTCCCAGAATACTGCTGAGGCACGCAAGGCATAAACAGGTGATCTGAGACAGCCAGCACAATTTCAACAAGGGAAGGTCATGCCTGATCATTCTGGTGGCCTTTGCGATGGAGTGATGGCACTGGTTGACAACAGAAAGGAATCTGATGTCATATACTTGGCTTTCTGCAAGGCCTTTAACATGGTCCTCCACCACATCCTTATCTCTAAATTGGAGAGATACTGATTTGAAGGGTGGACTATTAGGTGGATAAGGAATTGGTTTGAAAGGTCACAGCCAGAGGGTTGTGGTCAATGGTTCTATATCCAGGTGAAGGCCAGGAACAAGAAGTGTTCTCCAATCTGTCTGTTTTGGAGTCAATACTCTCTAACATCTTTACCAATGACATAGATAACGGGATCAAGTGTACCCTTAGAAAATTTACTGATGACACCAAGTTGAGTGCTGCAGATACAGCAAAGGGATGCCACCCAGAGAGACACTTATAAACTGCAAAGGCAGGCCCTTGTGAACCTAATGAGTTCAACATAGAAAAGTGCAAGGTTTTGCACTTGAGTCAAGGTAATCTCAGATAAGTACAGAGACTGGGAGAAGAACTCCTTGGGAGTACCCCTGCTGAGAAGGGCTTATGGTTCCTAGTAGGGGAACATGAGCCAACAGTGTGCACTTGTAGCCCAGAAAGCCAACAGTATCCTGGGCAGCATCAGAAGAATGATGGCCAACAGGACAAGGGGTGTGACTATTCCTCTTCTACACCATCATGAGGCCTCACCTGGAGTACTGCATTCAAGTCTGGGGCTTCCAGCTCAAGAAAGAAATCAAGCTTTTGGAGAGGGTCCAGAGGAGGGCCATGAAGATGATCAGAGGGCTACAGCATGTCTCCTGTCTAGACAGAATGAAGGAGCTGGGTTTGCTCAGTTTAGAGAAGGCTATAGGGAAACCTCATTACAGCCTTCTAATAGCTAGAGGGAGATTATACATGAGGGAAATAAACTTTTTACATAAGTAGATAATAATAGGACAAGGAGGAATGTTTTTAAACTAAACGAGGAAATATTTAGCCACGACATCAGGGAGAAGTTTTTCACTGAGGGGGTGATGAGGTACTGGAACAGGTTGCCCAGAGCTCCATCCCTGGAGGTGTTCAAGGCCAAGTTGGATGGGACCATGGCAACATGATCAAGTATTCGACCTAGAATCTGGCAACCCTACGTACAGCAGAGAAATTGGTACTTGGTGATCCTTGAGGTCTCTCCCAACCCAAACCATCCTGTGATATGATTCCATAAATAGCCATCCACAAACAAAGGCCTGTGGTCTTCTTCCACAGCCATTGCTGCTGGCATCTCTGTTGCAGTTTGAGACAGAATGAAGAAGAGAAGTCTGGCATTGATTGCAAAATGGCTAAAAGCACAAGACTAGCAAGACACCCCCCCTTGTCTCTTTCCCAGGCACCAACATGCACCCTTGCTAATGTGATCTGTGGGGAGAGAGCAGACCACATTCCGTTTTGCACACCAAAAAAACATCAATCATATTTGAAGGAAAAAATAAAACTAAAAAAAAAAAATTCCAAATTTGAGCACAGAGGACTAGCAACACTACTCTTCTCTAAATCAGAGAGGAAGCAAACCCAACTAATATTTGGTATTGTATGTATTTATCAAAGCATCAGAGAAAAACACATTGTTTTTATAAAAGGGAGAGTAGTGTCATCAAACAAACTCACACTAAGGGGACATAGAGATCTTCAGCATAGACCAATTGAGTGACAATAGACCGATACTTCTAACAACTAGAAAAAAAATTCTCCCTAGCACTCTTAGTCCTACCCAGCCCACCCTCTCCTACTTTTATAATCTCCAGTTTCTTAAGTGCACTCACTTCTGCAAAATTCTCCATATTGGCATTGGCGCTTCCCTCATACTCTTGCTGAACCACCAGGAGAGCCAAGTCTCATCCCTCTGCATGATGGGCACTGTTGCACTGCATGCATCTCTCTTCTTCCTCTCAAGCACTGCCTGTTCCAGCACTGAACTGCAGCCCAAAGCAAGTGGATATGCATACAGAGGGAAGGCCAGCAGTTCACAACAGATGGCTGCGACCTGCCCCTGCAGCAGCCAACAGAGAAGAATTTATCCTGACATTTGTCTAGAGAAATGGAATACGAAGCCAACAAGCTGCGTCACAATCTCAGCTGAAGGAGGATAATAAGGAGGGTCCAATAAACATTCCTTGTTCTGCTAGAAATAGTTGCTGTAGATAATCCTAGTGGGTCTTTCCCAACCTTCATGATTCTATGAAATAGAACACCAAAAAACTAGGAAAACAATGATATAAGATAGTACCACATCCCTCCACAGTTATCAATAGTAGACAGATGAGTTGTAACCTCAAAAATACTTGCATCAGAGTACAGGATGATGCTTGACTGAACAGAACTAGTTTAATTTTCCAGGTTATTCTTCCAGCATTTAGCATCAACATCAGAACGAACTCTCAGCAAAGGAGACTTTTCACTTCCCAGCAAAGACAGGGACAGTTCTAAAGCACATTAGTGAGAAGAAAAAAAAGGATGTAGTAGGTTCTCTAAAATGTACTCCAAAATGAAGCCCATTACGAAAGTGTTTCTCAGTGTTAGCTTCTGTATTTCTTAAAGCATGCGCAGAAGTGCATTCTTTATTCTAGCCTAACAGGGACATGTTATCTTTACAGGTGTGTAGATGATATGAGCTGCATGAAGGAGCACATAACAAAGCTCCTCCACACATACATGCACACCATGTCAACCAGATAGTTAATGAAAATCTCAAGACAAAATACAAGATTTCAAGCATACAAACTATCAAGTATACTTTCAAGTATACTACTATTTGACTATACAAATTTATAGTAATGTTATTCAACCCAAGATGAATTTCACTACTGAGATAGGCAGGGAGGACATGAAGGATGCCCAAACTACTACTATAAAATCAGGAAGTGGAATTTTTATAGAGAATTTACAAAGCACAAGTATTTCCTTCTTATTGTTAGACAATAATATAGACAAAGAATAATACATGACAGTGTGCACAAGGTAATGGCCATTTACTATTACAAAAGATTAAATTTCTAAGTAGATGCTCGCATACCTGTTGTACAATTGTTGTCAGCTCCAGACAGAGTTGTATTACGTTATTTCTTGTTACAGAGTAATCTGTCACAGCAGCAAAAGGTGATCTAAAAAGAAAGAAGGAAAAAAAAATGCTCAATGACGCTGTCATATATCCACTTGTTTCAGTGGCTCACAATGAACTTAGCGCCCATAGGACTTTTTTAATGCATTTCTTTTCTAGTGATATTAAAAGCATGGATAATACTAAAATCTATTATTAAAATTGTAAATTGCAGGATACATATCCACGGAAAATGTTCAACTCTCCTTGTTTTTTCTTCCTTAAGAAGCTTCATTTATAGAAGCATAATTTCTCATAGCCTTTCAGCGCATTCCTGAACTACTTTCACACCCCTAGAAAAAACATCCCACATTGCCTTCGGCAGTTGTTTGGGAACGCCATTACTAAAGTGCCATTTTCACCTCTGATATGGATGGTGCACAGATATGAATTGCACCAGGAAAGTATTTCACTGACTCACTGCAATTTCCGGAATCATGTCTGATGTCTAATATAATTACTGGAGGAACTCAAAAGAAGCAAAAGTTTTATCCAAATGAGAATGCCATTTAGAGCCAGAGATGAATCAACACTCAAAAACAGTTACAAAGGCTAAACTGGAGGCACAGCTTAACATCTCCCCACACTGTACCACAGTCAGAAGTGATTGGTGAAATGAAAAATGTAATCCAGCACTTAAAGAAGTCACCTACATGCATCCTACACCATAAACGTCATGTCAGAATGCTTTAAATGATTATCTACCTTGTCTAGAAGCTTGCTTATTTTCTGGAGGCACTGCTAAAACATATTTGGTTAGTGAGGCTGGCAGTCCTCTGATTTCTGTGTTACAAATCTGTCTTAAAATATAAACACAACTTGATCTATTCTGTGTACTCAAGAAGCAGTCAAACTAGGCAGGGCTGGAATTTTCTGCAAGTGAACAGTTCTACTCCATCAGTGTTGCAAATGAGGCTTTTACAGACATTATTACCATCACAAAGATGACATTTCTCCATAATACACTTGCTTCAAACATTTAAAACAAACAAACAAACAAAAAGGTGGCAAAGTACTGTGTGGAATATAATGTCTGAATAAATTAACAACAGATCATGCAGTATATAGATCAACTATTTGAAGAGAAGAGGCTTTTAAATAATCTGGATCACTTGTCCTTTCCCAGTTGTCACAAAATCTGGGAGCATTTATATTCATAAAGAGCTCCTAACTTCCTAATCTAAACCTAAAGACAAGTTGCCAGTACAAAGAACTCTGCTATAAGCATGTCTAAATGAGAACTATGGATACAGTTCTACTGATTGTTAGTAGTTTTCTAAAATTTTTTTGTGTGTGCAAAGTTACTGAACTTTTAGTACAGGCAGATTTTGCCAACAAGCCCATGTGAATTTTATCTTGTTCTAGTGCTCTCTTTCTTCTCCAGAATTTTAAATCCTGCCCTGATGGTTCAAAAAATGACATGAACTCTGAGGCGCATACTCAAGACAAGTAGCTTTAATTTGATGTAATACATTATACAACAAAAATTTTTTTTTTCTACCTTTATTTTCTAGGGAATTTAAAAATAAAATTACAGAAATAAGAAGTCTGGCAGAGTTTAAGAACCATATAAGCAAGCAGACAGTAGAATCTTGGTACGTAGCATGTAGATAAGTTCTGAAAGGTGCCTGACAAAAGCCATTTGACACAGAGCTGTAATCAAAATTGAAAATGCAAGTTTTAAACTGTACAGTACATACAAACTACATAGCAGGTTTACCTACAGTTACAGAGTATTACTGAAGTTCAGTTGATATGAGAGCTTATTAAAGGATGAAAGCTGACTGTATTTCTTGGTTATGAATGATCATCGTGTTTTAAAAAAAAATAAAAAAAAATAGTGCATTAGCCAAAATGTACAAAAACACCCTTTTTCCCCTTTTAAAATTGTGGCTGTCGAGGTTTTATATCTACCTGAAACCTTTAAAAAGGTCATGTTAACTTATGAACTCATTTTTACTTAAAATGAATGAAATCAAACCAGCAAATGGCATTCTTTTACTTTAAGTATGGATGTTAATACAATTTGATCCTCAAATTACACAACTGGAATCTATTTGACATTTCAAAGCCTCCAGCACTGCTCTAAACAAAATCGCATGGTAGGCTTTGGCTTCTAAAACTGTATGATATTCTCTCATACTTTTACAATTTAGTTGGTTTCATGGTTCATGAGGAAAATAATGACATTTTTACCATCATTGCTCTTAGTGAAGAACGTTAGAAATGCCCCAAATAAATTTTAAAGAGGAGGCAAAGAGACTGAGACATTACTCATTTTTATTACACTGAGGTTTACACAGTGAAGATTTACTGAAAACAGCATGGAAAGAAGTGACACATGGGTGGCAGCAGAAGGGAGAAGCTTCCTAAGAAACATAATCCTTATTAAAATATTTTGAGAACTGATTAATTACTTGGAAGGATAAGATGACAGGTCCTTGTTTCCTATGGAAGAGGTAAGCAGTCCTCAAGCTACCTCTTCTGTAGTTCTCTGTAGCTAATAAACTGATTCTCACATGGCAGTCTCTGCCAATGCTTCTATGGGAAATTGCTACAAATTGGACCACTAAAATTGAAATTCCCTCTTCACCCTCTCCCCAGTTCAGTCCACTTCACTGGAGGTAATCAGCACACACATGGACTACTGCAGTAGGCAACTAGGATAGTAGCAAAAACAAAAGCCTCTCCAAGTATATTTACTGTCAAAGGATACTTATTTTGGTAATACATTCTGAACCTCAATTTCAACCATGAAAGTCCAGCAAGATTTGATATAACAAAGCAGTTTCAACATAAACATCAATAGAAAAGTCATTATGGAATCGCTGATTTCATAATAGATACACGGTGAAACACCAAAAACTCCTCTTCATTAATATCTGATTTTAAAATGCATTGTTTCAATACAGTACAGAATTATTGACAGGTCAAACAGAAGTGAAGATAAATCCTACATACACCTTTTCAATTGGCTACTCCAGCACCTTCCTTCTCAAGACTTTAAAAACGTACCAAGTTAGAGGAATTCCTTGTTTAATCAGACCACTTATCTCCACTTTAAAAATATATATGTATTTCTTAAATGGTCTGAACCATTTCCATCAACCTCTAGATTTGATTATTTTCTTTCAAAAGTCTTTTGAGTCTCTTGGACCTTCAATTCTCAGGTACTTCATATGATTACATAGAAGCAAATTCCCTGTGAATAACTACAATATTCAACATGCATTTTGTTCAATTTAGCATTCTTTAAATTAAATAAGAACTAAAAACTATCCTGGTATAAAGGCTATATGCTGTCCCACTTCCTGCTGTGGCATGATCCTTTGCCTTTCACTACCTTGTTTCTCACAGGCTTTTCAAAATCTTTTCCATATACGTTTCCATATTCATTGAACCCTCTTCTCAGTTCCTCTTAAAAATTCATTATTTCTTCCCTCAAAAACTCTCACAGATCTTTTCCTTTTTGCCACACGCACATGAAACGCCTTCATAATGCTACAGCACATGCATGTTTCGTGACCATGCATGCTAGTGATGAGGGAGCCTCTTAATTCTTCCACTATGTGTACCCACATTGTGAACCTGCACCAGGCTAGACTTCATATATACTATTCATGTGTTGTAGACTGAAAGCCACTTGACAGAAAGTGCATTATTTGTGGGGTGAATCACTGAAATGTGGTTTCTCTTTATTTGGGTTTTCATTTGTTTTCCCAGTGCCATCCTTGCACAAACCAGATCTACCTTGTCAAGTAATAATCAAGCACAGCTAACAGTACCATATTGAGTCCCTTAAAGAGGAGGCCTCAAACTAGTAACAGCTTTTGTAAGTAAGAAGTTAGATGCTTGCAAACATTCAAGCCTAATTCTCCCAATAAATAGTCCTCTTTACTTACAATTACAGAAGAGTCACACAATAAACATAAATGAGGCTCATTCACTGAGAACAATGAGACAAAGAAATCCAACAAGACACATTTCACCTACAGTGTAAGAAAATGCATGCACTGTGTCACCATGGTGAAAAGAGGGAGAGTCATATATGAGTGGGAAATGCATTCTCCTAGCACAGTACTTTCATGCAAAGCATATTAAAAGAGTGTGCTGAAGGTGACCACCTAGAATTATTCATATGTAAACAAGAGCATCTACGTAATTGCAGGCTATACTCTGTGCATAACAAAGAATCAGTGAACAGGCTCAGTCTGTTCTGCTATCCAGACTTATGCACTGAAGCACCCAAATGTCCATAACTTCAGGCACAGATTAGAGCCTACCTTAACAGGACTGCCGTATACATACAAATGCTTTGCTAAATATTAGCACAACTTACTAACCTGGGGTTCAGAGTAAAAGAATTATACCTCATCATTCCGTGACTGCCCACAAAAGCTGATCTAAGATATCAGGAATGTCTTTTATTCTGAAATTTTACATTTTGTTACTTCTCTCAGCAATTTGACCTGCCTCTTTTATAGGACCAACAATTTCTATTTGCAGTAGGACTTTTTGTTCATTCATGTGCTGTTTTGCTCACGTATCAGACCAGAGATAGCAATGGTAAATTAATCAAACTCGTGCATATTTGTCAGCCTGCCAATTTTTCTCCAGCCACAACTCTGAAAGACTGGAACTCGAAAGCTATTTCCACAAGATATCTTTGCTCCTATTACTTCGACTTCAGCCTAAACCATAGCAGCAGTTTAAGATTTTATGGGGATATATGCCAGGGTGAAAAACAAGGGGTACAAGAACACTGCTGTGAAAGTCACACCAAATAGCTGCCCTAACAGACAGCTGAGTCAAAAAGTACAATTAAAAAAAAAAAAAAAAAAAAAAAAAAGTCCAGTGTTCTCTGGCAAATCCTAATCCATGACCATGAAAATCTATAACACAATACCACATGCAAAACTTCCTAGTAGTCGATTATATTTTCTTAACTTTTTAGAAAACAAATGAGATGTGAGAACAGCACAAGAGCTCAGTCTTAATCATAAACGTACTTATAAGCTGCACTAAACTCCAAACTCAAAAAACCTCAGGATAGTTTTCTGGAAACACTGTATCACTAGTTTTCATTTCATACTTTCCTCTGGACAAAAGCTTTGAAGTTTTCACTGTTGTCACTGAAGACGCAAGTGAAACACAAAAAAAAAAAGTAGCTTGATTATCAACATAGAGTGAATTCATAGTGCTTTCAGTTCAATAAAGCCTCAAATGAATGGCACATAATTTAGAAATTTCACAGAGGCAGTGAACACAGATGCACACACAAAGCAACACTCGTAAAAGTGGTTTTATGTAGGACTGTAGGTGCATAAGAATAAAACGTTACCTGGGATTGAAATAAATAAATATGTCTAATTTCTGTTTAATTGCACAGGTACCACTGGACACAGTACTGTACAGAAAAATACACTTCTATGAGGCTAGAGATAGCTTTAAACCATAAAATTGGTTTATTCATGCTTTGAATCCACAGTAATGGACTCACAACAGTAATTCTACTTTAATCATACATTAAAGATTTTCTTTCTATGGCATAACTTAAGTTTAAGTTTGGCTTGAGGGACCTACAACTTCTACCTCAATTCTTATTTTTAGATAACTTGAATGCATTTTTCAATTGCGTTTTTCCTTCATGTTTTCTAATGATTTTCTTTAACTATTTATTCAGTTTATTTTTCAGTTGCTTAACAGTACTCATCTTCCTCTTGCATTTATATCAAATAATCAATTTGCAGAGAAGTAAGTTGCCCAACTTTGAAGGTAATATTACGTGCACCGTTATTCAGAAGATACAAAGAAACATATTCACGGTAACTGTTGAACATAATCTCAGCAAATAAAGTATATTGTATAGAAAGCACTGAGGTTTCAACCTCTTCAGGCTGAAGTGCATGAACCTTGTAAAATGCAGAAGAATTTCCAGGAACCCAGTACACCAAAGAAAAGATTCAGAACGATAGCATCAATTACTATTTCAAAGATTACAAGATACAAGAACTACAGGAACAAAGACTGAAAATAATAACTATCATCTAGCTTGAAGTCTGGATCGCCTGGACAGCTTCTCTCATTATTATCTAATTCCTTAGAAGTATCACTTCACAGCAGAGACATTTAGACGCCAAGTCATTCAGAACAGCAGACAAATAGTTTGTTGCTACAGTGTAGAGTATGTATTTCCATCAGCTTAAGAGCTAAGTTGTGTGTCAAGTGGAAATACATCATGCTTTCAGAAAAGACTCTCAAGATTTTCAAGGAAGCTCAAATCTAAGCACTCAGATGGTTTGCAAAAAAATTGAAGATTAGGGAAGGAGCATAAAATAAAAATTATTAAGACAAAATATTTTTTTGAAGATTTTGTGCTTTGAGAGAGTAAAGGGAAATTGAAATGAGTCTAAAAAGCTTAAGGACATAATCTATTTGTGTGATGACAATTTCTTTGCAGAACATAATTACTAGGGAGTCATTTCATGCCCCTAAAAATTCTCAGCCAACCTCCTTTGAAAACAGCTAGAATTCTCTGCTGAAATTTCCAGTTCCTTAGTGAAATTAATCTTGAAGACCTTAAAATCTCAGCAGTAAAAGCTATCTTAATTTCCAGTAAAAACCTCTATCTGTGACATACATCTGAAAGTACAGCTGCTACAAGCAGAGGTCTGGAACAAAGAGCATTCTTAGATCAGCTCCATACCGTGCCACTATAAGAGCCACAGTGAAAGTAATTCAGCAAATCACAACTTCTACAGTCTGTTTGATAATTGTACCTGGCCTCATGTATCATGGCCATTATAAGCAGCGAACATCCTATGGAAACATCATAAAGGGAGGGCTTGCTTGAGCAGCTGGCAAAGCAGGATTCATATGCTATCATCATCATTCCCCCCGCATAAAAAAACCTCATCATTGCATTTCTAGGCAGTGTGAAGCTGCTGCTGGCTGCATTTTCCCTGTGTGACCTGTGAGGCAAATCGACACAGGGACAATGGAGAATGGATGTTACTATAGAGTGGAGAATGGATGTTACTATAGAGTGGATAACCCTAATAACTAATTTATACCTCCAAATGGTTTTCTCTTCCATCTCATACCCTACAGACGGAACTGGTGTTAGGCACCAACCAAAAGAATTCAGATTTGGCCCAGATTTTATAGCAATAGCTGTGCAGAATGAAATTAAATCTACGTCCCTGACTTCAGATATTTAATATCTAAAATCTTACTATCTCCCCCTAGTGGCCCCAACATCTGCTCAGAAAAAAATGTAATTAGCAGACTGCTGTTGTACTTCAGATGTTCCATCTTCCTGAGAAAGATAAATTCATTGGCCTGCTCTCACTCCAGCTTGGGGATTTCACAAAAAAGGAAGAACAAACCTAAACAAGAAAGCTTCACATTCTCATAAATCAGAATCGACTTAAAATGTTACAGAAAACATTTGGCAGCACTACATGTTTAGGCTACGCAGAACATTAGAGGCACTTTCTCAGAAATCTGAATAAAATTAATACATTGCTTCAAGGAAGCCTCATTTGCACGCTAAACACAACATTGCTAAAAGCTTTCACCATTGCTGCCTTAATTTTTAATTTCTTGGAACTCCTTGGTTTGATCAGCTTCAGATAAATGCATAAGTCATTTTGCAATTCATTTGAGAGTAAGATTCACATACACTTAAAAAAAACCAAAACATTTCAGAGATCTTTCTTCACCAACACTACAACTAACCAGTTTACAGGAATACATTCACACATTAGCACTCAGATGCAAGCAATTTTTTTTTTTTTTTTTTTAAATTTTACTGTTATTTGATCAGCCTTCCAGAAAAAAACAAACTAGTTGGCAGAACAATAACTTTTTTCCAGTGTTAAATATACATGAAAATCTACTTTTTAATTTCAGACTATTGAATGCAAAATATTATTTTCAATTCTTTATCCATTGTCCACAATTTAGATGAGAAAACAATCAAGGTCTTTTCTAAATGGAACAAAGTCCCAAACACTGATGTGCTTATGCAGAACATGATTTCATACTATTCCTTCTGTTTTAAAACTCAGAATGATACGCTATTCTCTGCCAAAAATTGTTTGCAGGAAAAAAAACAAACAACACGAGGACTACAGGTCTTCCAGGTCAAAGCAATAAGTTAGAGGTAAAGCTAAAAACAAATTCCCAATTCTTCAACTTCCAGTACCTAACTCTTCCCACAACGCTTAATCATTTCTCTGCATATCTAATGTTATGTGCCCAGGTAGAAACGCAGGAGCACATCTTCAATTTTGAAATCTAAAGGAAGGCTAGAAAGGAAGGTAGAAACTCTGGTAGTTGGAGTCTACTGAATAAAAGAGTTTAAATTTCAGTTAGGAAATGGAAGAGATTCCTGTTTCACCTTACCCTTTCATAGGGAAATCAATTATGAGACAGGAGCTATCAATTAGATACAACACAGCAAAACCCAGAGAAGTAAACCAAAACAGCTCCATTGGATTCTAAGAACTACACAGAACTCGTACTCTGAAAAAACTTCAGCTGCTGGGTAAAAAAAAAAATAATTAGATACTCACTAAAGGCACATCTTGCAAATCAGGGTAAGCATTTTATTTTTCATGATAAAAATGCACTGTGATGCATTCTCATAAAGACAGGGAGACTCATTTCAACCACTTCAGGAGTTTACATGATCATCTTAAATACCCGCTTATGACTATTTCTATCACTAGAAAATTATCAATGCAGGTATACTAAAGGAGAGCAGTTAACCCTGCTCTCACATATTTTCTAGCTAATAAAACAAGAATATAAGCCCATTCCAGCTGCATCTACAGTTCTGAGGTATTTCACTGCAGTTAAAAAAAAAAAAAAAAAAAAAAAAAAAAAGCACCAATAGTAATTAAAAACACAACTAACATAAACTGCAAGACCACACACACACACAGTAAAAGTCTATATTTACACATACATTATGAAACGTATGACTACAGTTTCGTCAGTTTGATTTTGTCAGAGCAAAGAATTTGATTTATGCAGGTCAATGTATTATTCTATATTCTTAACAAAATATGCAAAAGTCCTAATCATGTCAGCATGGTGCTATACTGTATTTCCAGAAATGTGTAGGATTGCAGGGAATTTGGAAGTATTGTAATGTTATCAGAATCATGTACTGACAGTTAAATAACAAGGAAAAAAAAACTGCCACAAAGTTCTTCTTAGAATTTGTGAGTGGATTCTGCTACTGTGTAAATGTCTATGTTATGTTTTTTAAAGAGGCTGGGTTTTCAGCATGTCCATGAACTGGTTACCTGTGACACATATGGGATATTTTACCTGTCCAACCAAGCCAGGAGACTTTTAGCAGCTCCAATGAGATCCACTACTGATGTCAGAAAATCATTTGGTAATTTGCGGCTGGTCCTTCCATCATAGTGACCACTTCTCCTCCTCCCAGTGATGAAGTTCTGCAGATTTTTGGCAGATGCATTCAGTTTGTGTGAAAGAGTTTTCAGATTTTCTGTTTCCAAACCATAGTTCTGAAATTAAAATAGAAAAAAAAAAAAAAAAAAAAACAGAAAAAGAAACTTAGCCGTGCTACTGAACATGAAGTACTGAGAACAGCAAGACTGATCTCCTTCAAAACTTAACCATTCCCAATAATTAAGGTATAAATACACCCACTCATTAGATTTTAAATGTATGGCATGTTCTGTTTCTAAAGTGCATAAAAATAGAACAAAAGAAGAACAGAATTATGAGTGATCTTTTAGATGGTTTAAGTAAGCTAAGAAAAAAAAATCTCTTTCTAGTCTGGAGAATTGATTTTCCAAGCAGTAGACCCAGTAGTTCTCTCAGTAAATCTGACAGTTACAGAGCAGCCCCTTCTGCCTTCAGTCTCACTGATTCCTAAGACCATGTAAGAAAAGAGGGCTTGCAATTAGCAAAAGCAAACAGTATGAACACAGTGTAATATCAGATTGCTTTTATTGGAAGCATGTTTATTATCTTTTTTTTTAATTCTTGTTAGCAGCAGAAGACCAGCATAATCACAGACCAAAAAACACAGTGCTACTTTGCTCAAAGTCTGTCTTGCCCATTTAGAGCTGTAAACTTTGCTTCCACTTAAGACACAGCTCCTTAAGCTGAAATTACAGTCCACTACTATGCAGCAGATACAAAAACAATTTTGCAGAAATATTAACAAATACTACTTGAAAATCCTTCAAATGCACTGAAATGGCACTAGAGAATATCCTAATTTAATGTTCTATTACAATTTATTACAGAAACAGAAGCAATTTGATAATTCTAAAATAGATGTTTTCCTCACAAATGCAAAGAGTACTAGCATTATTTAAAAAGAGATCTTTTCTTCCTATTTTAAATAAATATGCAACTGTGGAGACTTGAGCTTATCATTACCACAAGAGATGGGACTGCTAAAAGTTCTCCTTGCCTAAAATACATCACAGGGTTATGATGTGGCATGGCTACAATTTCATCTGAGGTAAGAGCTACTTGCTACTAACCAAGGTGGATGAAACAGGATGCAAAAAAACTGCCTCAGCTATACACAAAAAAACCCACATTTCCTAACAACACTCCCTCTCTCTCATCCCAGACTCCCTGGTTTGGTCACCATACTAATCTGTCTATGAGAAGGGATGTGTTTACCAATTCCAGTCTAAGACTACTGAAGCTTATTACTGTGATTTTTATTTTTTTTTCCTACAGGCAAGGATTTTTTTTTCCTCTCTTGTCTGTAGGAAAAAAAAAATTAAAAAAAAGATTATTTCCAGCAGTTGTCATTCTCCTAATCCACACCATTTACTAAATCAACTTATCTACTCTTTAATTATATAGGGACTCCAGGAAGATTACATTGTCATAAGACCCAGTAAACACAGAGCCCCTAACCCTTCCACAGTCCTAATCCCAGGACAATGCTGAAATACTGCGGAAAACAGAGACTTCAGAATATGGCTTGGATGTATCTCCCACCCACATCCTTTCATACCTGTAAATTGAACACACTTAATAAGGAGTCACTACAATGTCAGTCATTTTTCCCACTTTGGGACTCAGCTTAAGAGGGAAACAAGCATATGCTAAGATTGCATTTTAAAAATCTCTACAGCAATATCTGAGAACATCGTATTTTAGCTAACAAATGGCTTTGTGGGAATGTTTATAACTGCACAGTTTCTGCGTAGGCACTGTCCGTTGCCACCTCATTCAGTTTCCAATTAGACAGTCGGTGCATTTGGGCAATGACTTTAAATATTCTATAGCAATTATACAACAGATAGAATTAGGCCATAAATTAAAAATTTACAAGATGAAAACAATAGATTAGGAAAGAAAAGTAAAAGATACTTTGTTGTGCAGTTAAGCGGCTCGTAATTAATAACTTATTAAATCCGCCCAAATTAAAGAGATAAACATCAAATAAAAACAAATTTGTTTTTCCTGCAGTTTTCTGTGGTTGCTGTGGTTGAAAGAGCTTGATGAAAATGTAGGGCTCAGGAATAAGCTGGAACAACAATAAATAGAACAAGTTTTTTTTAATTTCCCTTCTTCTTGAGCATCTAGCTTGTTTGGGTGAAGTAATTAATCAGAAAATAAATTAAGTCTACTCTGTACAAAAAATATGTCAAGGAAAGTTTCTTACAAATCACCTTTCTTGAGCAAACTCAGAAAAGCAAGCCTACCACAAGACAACATGTATTTACAGTCATGCTCACATTCCCAAACACTGAGAGGAATGACTGCAAGCTACAGCCCTGTCATAGGTCTCCTCATGAAATTTCCTTCTTTCTGATGCACAGAAAAGCAGAATTTCTTAATTAAGGTGTTTGTCAGTGGGAAGCCAGTGGTTATCCAAATACTGTGCTCACATTCACCCTCAGCAACTTGAGTTCTGTCACACAGCACCTCTAACTCTTGTCACACTCCAGGTGCCTCAGTATTACTGTAGCTTTCACAACAGGGCCTGTATTTCAAGTTTCCTAATCCCGTGGCACTATTCCTTCTGTAATCCAGGGGAAAGTGCTGGAAGGGCTGCCACAAGCCACGCCAACCAAGGGTGCACTGATCCCGAGCCAAAGCTGGGCACAGGGCCCACAGATGGATGCCTACGCCACAGATGGATGTCCATGCCAAGGCCCAGGCTTCAACCTGAAGCTCTCCCTTGACAGCCCTGAATTACTTCACCTCTTTTTTCCTCCATCCTCCTCTCTTCTGCCTGACCTGCACCTTGCCAGTTCAGAGAGGCGAGCAGTGGGTAGCACCCAGCAATGATGGGCTGTGCCTACTGCAGCAGAAGCTCAGGTCAAAAACACCCAGGCCTCTAGTCCCAGCAGAAAGAAAATCATCATCAGTAAAACTAAAACAGTGAGCAAGACAGTCAAAAAAGTATTCTGTGACAGAATAACAGGACACATTTGCATATATGCTTCTTTAGAAAAGCAGCTCCTATAAAAGCTTAGTAGTCTCATTGATGTTTCGAGTGATGACTACGTACAAATATATTCTCTTTCCTTTTTGAGACATCTTTTTTCACACTCAGATACATGGAAATGAAGGGACAATGTTAATGACCACAAAGTCTGTGTCCAGATACATTCACCAATACTTCATGTTTTCTTACTGCAAAAAACAGAGGGGTTCAGTTGGTATCTAAGCTGCATTCAATTTAATCATTCATTAGGAATGGTGCTGGTTTTGGCACAGCCTCCACCTGCAGTATGAGACAGATATAGGCAGGGGTGTAAAACAGATATAAATTTCATGCAGAGTAATACAACGGCTGCTCTGAAAGTAAAGCCTCCTATTTTAATATGTTGGCCCATGTCAGAGGCAGGTGTTGGTGGTATGGCAAGAAGAGGCTGAATCTTCCAAACAATATTATGCTATATTGTGTTGCTGCATGACAGAAGGCAGCAGAGAGGCAGTCTGACACAATCACATCTGACATGGAAGTACAGATGAAGAAAAGAAGTGGAACTGAATTCCTCCATGCAGAAAAGATTGTACCCGCTGACACTGACACTTGCATAATGCTGATAGAAACCCAACAGTGGCTGCAAGCACAGTGAATCAGCAGGTGGTGTTTCAGCAGTAGCAACAGCAGATCACCTCCGCTAGTGCAAATTTTTATAAGCTCAACATGCAGACTCTCATTCATTGCTTGTGAAAGTACATAGCTAATGGTGGTGACTATGTAAAAAAAAGAAAAAAAAAGAAGAAGAAGAAAAAAAAAAAGGCGTTCAGGCGTTCTTTACGTGAAAATTTGCTTTACCAAATAGAGTTATTGTTCTCCTTGTAGTTCTGGTAGTTTCCGTAGAGGCATTACTTTTGGAGCAAGCTACATATTTTTGGGCAGCTCTGTTTAAAGAAGCCTTCAATTAGAAGGCTCCTAGAACAGCAGCCAAGCTAACAAAATCCCCACTTGATATATCACTAATATTTCCCGTCCTCATTAAAAAAAAATAATATTAATAAAAATAAAAAAATCCAATGTGTCATGTGTTTCAATACTGGGGAAAAGGTTGTTCAAATAATTACTGCCAAGTTCGGTCATACTTTATATGCAATTAAATACTATTAATAATATGCTACTTGTAGACATACAGTGTTTATCTCTAAGCAACGTAAAAAGATAATTGCAGGCAAAGATGACAATTCTTTTGTTTTTCCCTACTCTGTATTTAGCCCACACTAACGCAAGTTATAGTGTCATTAGCCAAGATAAACTTATAGTCATTGAAAGAAGCATAAAGCAATCTGTGTGCTTGTAGAGATTACTAGCAGTAAGGCAAATCTATACATCTGCTTTCTCAATGAGGAGCCACAAAGGAAGAGTCTCTTCAGAGACACCACACCTGAACAGAAATGGCTCTAATGGCATCTTTTCTCACAATCACAAAACAAGAACTTGATGAAGCTTAAGTGAAATAGCTTGTCAGCAGGTGTTTGAGAGAAAGGTGGTGAGAACTATTAATAGGCATTTTACCTACTAATTACTTTTCTGTGGATTCACATGGTAGTGATGAATTGTAGCTCTTTTCTTTGCATGCTGACAAGCAGCAGCGTAACTAGTGATTAATTTTGATTTTTTATTGGTGGGGAAAGCCAGCCTAGCCCTCTCTCTCTGCCCATCCATCCTTTCATCAGCATCACAGGCTAGAAAGAGAGTTAAGTTACTAAACTTTGGAAGTGAAATGAACTTTTGGGGGCAAGTTTGATAAATAACTAAAAAATAAAAATATCAGATCAGAGCTCAATTTCTTCTTTCATTAAATTCACTTAAGCCTTTATAGCAGGTAAGTACATCTCATATTGCTAATACTGGTTAGAAAGGAGAGCATTTCTATCTCATACAGTGCTAACAATTTCTGCTGGCTCAGACATGGTGACTAGAGGCTGCTGACACACTTCAGAGTATGCCACCACTGTTGCAGTGCAACACAAAGACATAAAAATGTCAAGTTCAAGTATCAAGAGAATTCCATGTCTGAATTCATCACAATATACT